AATACCATTTTTTTGTTGTTAATTTCTTAAGTCTAAAACACACAAGACATTTGTTTAGCCTTGGAAAGCAAGACCGATTTCCTTGCTTTTTAGAAAGTGTTAGTTTTTTCCTTTGAATCTCAAGTCTCTTTCTTTCACACTTACAGTATACATATCTGAAAACTTACTATGAAAAAAGTAAAAGTTCAGTTTGCCTGCAATGCACAGACATTTTAAGCTAAACCCACAACTTTTGTTTGACTCCCATCTATAAACCTGCCCTCAGGGTGCTGATTTCAGTGACACCAAACCAAAAAGGCTCAGTGAACCCAGTGGTTCCTAAGCTCGACCTCCTGCCTGGCGGCATTAGCACCCAGGAGTTTGTTGTAACTGCAAATTCTTGGGTTTCATCCTAGACTTCCTAAATCAGAAACTCTGAGGGTTGGGCCATGGACTTCGTGAATAGTAAGACTCTTTGGAATATTAAGAATAATGGATAAGGAGTGTTAAGTTTTAAATGTGTCCTTTGACCTATGGTGAGCAAGGTCTTTCCTCTGAATTTGCAGTACGAATGGAATGACAATGAACAGTACTTGTTCCAGTCATCTATTGCTTATGCCATGAGAGAGTACTTTTTGAATATAAAAAAGCAGAGGATTCTTTTCGGGTGAGTTGATTTACTGGTTTCTCAGCTTATTCCAACCAGCAATACTTCCTTATTCTTGCATCTAAGGAGAGAAACTTTTCTTCAAGTGAACTTAAGAAAAACCGCTAATTACTTTTAGACTTCCTTGGCAGCCTGGAATTTGGGCCGCTCTGGTTAGGGACGGTTGTGGCTTATTTGATTGGTAAATTGCAAAAGCCTTGTTCTTATCAGAAAGCTCTGATCTTTTTCCTCCAAATGCTCTCACCCATCCTCAGCACTGAAAGAAAGAAAAGGTAGAAATCTCTGCCATCATCAAGCTTATATTATAGAGTATATGTTTATGTGTGTGTATGTGTGTATAACATTTAGGTCAAGTATAGGAAAATTACATAGTAGCCTTATCACTATTTGAGCAAATACGAGGCGACCTCAAACAGTTTGTTAAGAAATGGAATTAAAGCACAACTTTATTTTGGTACGGAAATTTAAAAAATCCATGCATTTTTAAAAATAATACACATTTTCCACAAGCATTCTGAAGACCCCAATATATGAGACAGGAAAGTGAGCCAGCAATGCAAGCAGCCGGGGGAGGGAGGAGTGTGTGTGTGTGTGTTTCATCTGGGGAAATAAAAAGTGTAGAACTTGAGGAAGGAATATCCTTTGCCTGTTGAAGGAACAGTGAAGAGACCAGTGTGGCTGGGGCAGAATGAGATAGAAGACACATAGGTGTGGTTAGAGCTGTGTTGGGTCAACAGGGGGTAAAGAAAGTTCATATGGGCATCCAAGCTTCCTCTGCACAGTACTATGGGGCTTACCCAGTTAATGTTTTTCTCTTTTTTTTTTGCCTTAGGGCACGTGCGCTTGCCAGAGAGAGATAGTGAGAGATAAAGTGACAAATCGCCCCCCACCCCGGGGAATGCTATGTCACAATCCCTTCTCATCCATTCTCCTCCAGGAATCTTGGGCATGCACACACAAGCACCCAGCATGATTTTCAAGCCACCAGGTCCGGGACTTGAACTGTAGTCAGCCATGTGGGAGTCCAGTGATGTTACTGCTATGCCATCTGTTGGTCCTTAATGTCTCTGTACCTGTGATGCTCATTTTAATCTCCTTTTCACCAGCTGGGGAAGGTTTCAGTCTCTTTATAGTGTTCTCTGTGCTACAAGGAAAGATGTTTGTTTCTCCACAGGGAAGATAATGTATGGGTGAGTGATGTGACACCAAGAATCTCCTTCAACTTCTTTGTCACTGAACCTAACAATGTGTCTTCCATCGTTCCTAGAACTGAAGTTGAAGAGGCTATCAGGTGACATTTTATTTTCAAATAAGCCATATAAGGGTGAGGGGGCTAGCAAATGCAACAATAATGATAGTCAATATGTAGTGGACTCTACCTGTGTGCCAGGCATTGTTGTGAGTCATTGACATGTTTTACCTCATTCTACAAATTCGGGTTTTAATACTAAAAGGATCCCATAGCATGAGAATGATCTTGATTTGGATTCCCCCAGGCCCCAGCCCATAGACAAGCATTTGAATATAAGTAGTTTATCTGGGAGGTGATCCCAAGAAACAATGATAGGGAGATGTGGACAGGAGACAGAAGGGAAGGAAGACAACAGATTACAAATTACCAAGCAAGTTACCTCTGTGGGCAACTAGAAGCTCAATCCTGCTGGGAAACTCTGAAAAACCATGTAGAATGAGGACCTGAATGGTCCCATCAAAGGTCTGAAAGAGCTAGGGTATTTGCTCACGACTTTCTATCAGTCAGGGCAGATCTTGCTCTGAGGAAGCTTTAAGGCAAAGGGACACTGGTACTGGCTGAAGGAAGTCCAGCTGGCAGGCATAGAAAATAGCAAGTGCAGAAGGGACACGAATAGGTGTTGCCATAGTTTGCTATATGGACTTTGATGTAAGGTTAATTTAATTGCCCAATGGCTAAAATAAGGTAAACAAGCATAGGGCTCCTTAAATGTTGGTTGGCTTCTATGCTAGGAGTGAATGTTTAGAAAAAATAGTTTATCCAATTTCCTTCTACTGTGTCCCACAACAAACAGCAGGAGTGAAGGCCGGACTTTGTAGATGGTTCCCCCTGTCATTAAAATAAATAAATAAATAAACGGGCTTAACATACCCACTGCTCGGCAAGTCCTGTTTACCTTTGGAAGTAGATCTAAGATCTGCTGGGTAGAGTGCATCTAGAAAATGTGACTTGGTTGGGGAATATGACCCAACCATGCCCAGAGAGTCACTCACTGTGTCTCTCTGAGGGAAAAGTGATGGCTGAGATTTTCATGAAGGAACCCATCCTTCCCTGATATTCAGCTGTAAGTTGTAGGGGACTATAGACTTCCTGTTTCTAGAATGATCTGAGACGTTTACAGGCTGAAGTTGCCGAGCGTTACATGGATAATTCTGCTTCGGTCTCTGTCCCTCCTACCTAAGGATAGGAGGAGGGGATGCCAGGCATATCAGTCTTCAGTCTGGAACATTCTGTTTCATTGCTTTTGTTTTCTTGTTTTTAAAATAATTGTAATCCCTTTTCCTTCATAAAATTCAGCCATTTCCTGTTCTAATGCTGGCGAACTTGGCAAAGTCTCAGTCTTGTGTTCTTTTCCAGTGCTGCCTCCAAATGCCAACACATTTTATTTAGAAAATACTACTACAAAGGTTTGGGTATAGGACCTGATTTTTTTTTGTAGATGAGGTGGATCCAATTGACCTTTTCCATGATTTGATACAAAGTCATCATAGATATACTCTGACAGTAAGGAAATTCTTGCCAAATATGCTCGCTTTGCCTTTAAAACAAAATTGTCACGGTGGCTAACTATTTTACATTTCCACACTTGGAACTCAATTTTCCAATTAAGATATTGACAAACTTAATCGAGGTTGTAAGATACAGAAAGGGCATGAATATCAAAAACTCATGTCTTTCATTTTACCTGATTATCTACTTTGATATTGTTATTATTTTAGGTTTACATTCTTATGATATGCCTTATAAGAACAGTGAAATGAGAAGTAAATAGCTACACACAATTTCATTTTCCCTAAGAGATCTTCCTTCTATGTTTTACCCTTGTGATTAGGATGTCCCGAGGTCGTATCAATGATATCTTTCGCCTGGATGACAATAGTTTGGAGTTTGTGGGGATTCAGCCAACACTTGCACCTCCTTACCAGCCACCTGTCACCATATGGTTGATTATTTTTGGAGTTGTGATGGGACTGGTAGTGGTGGGCATTGTCATCCTGCTTGTCAGTGGGATCCGAACTAGAAGAAAGTAAGTGACCTTTTCTAGAAATATCTATCTTAAAACATAAAGGTTTAACTGGAAAATTTGTAGAAGGTGCTAGATTGTGTCCTTACTGTCATTTGTGGGATAATTTTGCACATCAATATTCTGATGCATCCCAAAGAAACGCAAGCCCATGCAGTAGATATCCAGATACCTGGCCTGGGATTGATTAGCACACCCTAGAAAACTCCATCCCAGACACGTACCCTATAAAAAAAAAAAAAAGTAACTGGAAAGACTGAGTCGGTGATGAGTTGGAACTGTGGAAGTTTTCAAGAATGAGCTCTAAGATTTGCTTCAAGCTGCTACCCTTTAATCATCCTTATTCCTGTTTGGGTGGCTCAGATTCTATTTCACCTCCTTAGTTGGAGTTGAAGATGTAAATTTAGTGAGGATTTAAATTATGAGAGACCTGATTTCTAATCTTGCTTTGCTACTAGATTGTGTTTTCTGATCTTCAGAAATAGCTGACTTTTGTTGGGTTTATGAAATGAAGGTTAATAATTTTTGTTATTTATTATATTTTTAATTCTTAATTTGCTATAGGGCACATGTGCTCACCAAAGAGAGACAGAAAGAGAGAGCGAGAGAAAGTCAAAAAGCAGCCGCCTGGTCTGGAATTAGGAACTGTCGTCAGTCATGTGGAAGTCTAGTGCCTTAACCACCGCGTCACCTGCTGGTTAATAATATTTTATAGCGCCTAACAAAACTGCACACGTCAGGTTGTTTAAACCTGTTCTTGATCGAATCTCTACATGTGCTTGTCTATTTTGCTCAATTTTCTTCACATTAGAGATTTTTGGTTCTCCAAAGTAGTTTTGCTTAAAAATTAGGCATTGGATATATAATACATTCACATGGTTAAAATAAAAGAAAGATACAAAAGCATAAATAAAGACTCTCCCTGTTACCCTTTGGATCCAAGTTTTCTTCTCAAAGCCAACCACAAGTTATTAGTTTCTTGGAGATATATAGATATGTGTCATTTATTAACCTATAAATTTAGTAAAAAGTAGTTTTGCTTAAAAATTAGGCATTGGATATATAATACATTCACATGGTTAAAATAAAAGAAAGATACAAAAGCATAAATAAAGACTCTCCCTGTTACCCTTTGGATCCAAGTTTTCTTCTCAAAGCCAACCACAAGTTATTAGTTTCTTGGAGATATATAGATATGTGTCATTTATTAACCTATAAATTTAGTAAACTATGCACAATGTTTTGCATATTTCTGCATAATATATTTTAGAGATAGTTCCATGTTAGTTGCACAAAGAATTTTCATCTTTTTCCTGGTGCCAAAGTTTTACATTTTGTGGATGGACTGTAATTTTCTTAACCAGTCCTCTATTGATGGACTTTTATGTTGTTTCTAAATATTCGTGTTTATAAAAAGTTGCAGTGGTTTAACATAGGTAATTTTCTATATGTACCAATATATCTTTAAGAGAAATCCTAGCATTAGAAAAATGGACTCACAGCATATGTGCATTTCTGATTTTAAGTATTGTTAATTGCCCTCAATAGAGGCTGTACCAATTTATACTTATATCAACAATTTATAAAACTCATGTTTCTCCCACTCCAGCCTCCTTAACAGAGGGTCATAATTTTTTTATGTGAAAAATTTTTTATCTTTATTGATCTGATTGTTGAAAAGTGTCCTTCTAATATGACTATATTAAGGTGACTTCACTTTACTTAACAGGAAAAATCAAGAAACAGTTGAAGAAAATCCATATGCCTCTGTGGACATCAGTAAAGTAGAAGATAATCCAGGATTCCAAAACAGTGATGAAGCCCAGACTTCATTTTAGAAAAATCTTTTTCCTCCTGAGATGATTTTATTATACGTAAAAGTTAATTTTATGTTATGGAAAATATGAGACTCAAAGACGTCATTAAATATGAAAACTACGGCTCTGTTTAGGAAGTGTTGTCCAAAGACAACACAACCGAGGAGAGGGCATTTTCACTGACCATCACTTTCAGTATTTATTTCTGCCTCAGAATTTGGTATCTCTTCTGTTTTCTAATAGGGACATTTATATCAGAATATAATAGGGAAAGTATGTCTTTGGTCCCAGAGGCTATTCAGGGATATCAGAAATGGAAATGTCTGTTGAGTTACTGGAGTTGAAAATAAAAAAAAGGATATATCATACGAGCAAGTGTTGGAGTTTGTATGCAATTTGATTGGAGAGTGTAAAGACAGTGCCTGTGAACTGGTGGGGCTGCAGGGATGGTGCATGGCACACACTGTTCACTTGAATATAATCCGACTGTAAGGGATCACACACTTGCTTCTCCTCAACTTAATCCAAGCACTAGAGTGATTTGCCCAAAGTGATGTTTTGACCATGCCTCCTTCAGGGTGATAGGTGTAAAGAAGAGAGAAGAATCCAGAGAATAGATAAAGGACATCACCTTTTCATTTTCTTTTCTTTTTTCTTATTTTTTTGTCTAAATTATGCTATTTTATTCCAGAAACCAAAAATAAGTCTTTTCAAAAGCCAAGACAAATAAAAATGTGATTGAATGTATGGAAGAAAATGAAATGAAAAAAAAATACATTTTAAACATTTAAGAGAAAAAATAAGTCTTTTCACTTTGAAGTTGCTTGATCAACATCTCCTTGACAACACGAAACCAGCACCAGAGGCATCTATGAATCTCCAGAGCATGCCTGATAGAAACTTTTCCATTATTCTCTGGGGAGAACATTGTCCTGCATGTTCACCCTCTCAAGTGGGTACCTAGTCTTTGAAATCTTTTGTATTTGCGCACAGTGTCTTAACGGCTGAAGCAGACATTCCGTAAGTACTAGTTTACACTCTCCTGTGGTACTTACTTATAAGCTGGAGTTCCTGTCTGTCCTGTCTGCTTTTCACTTCCATGGACAAAGTTGTCTGACTGTCTGGGACCCTTGACCTCCCAAACATCTTTGGATATATCCCACATTTTCAAATTGTATTATCATACAAAACAATTGTAAAATCAGTCCAAACAGAGTTGTGTTCAGATTGCATACACCATCAGGTTAGGAAACAAACCTGATACCTTTTTTTTTTTTTATATTTCTGAGTTCCTAGCCCAGTTCTGAGCACAGGATCTGCTATATATTGGAAGATTGAATAAAACTAGATGAAATAAATTAAGATGTCCAAATACTACCCTGTTAACTCACTCTATGTGATGACCACATAATGTTAGAGTGACTTTGTACTTAATACATTGTAGATGGAAGTGGTGATGGCAGATCAATTAGCCAAGTCGGGGAAGGATGGTGTTTATATCATCCCTCAATAAATAGCCTTGAAATAAATAAATCAGGCTGGCTCCCTTGTGGCGCATTGATGTTTTGTAATTATCTAGTACTCGGGTATGTAGCAAAGGTAGAGTTCTTTGTCTTTTCACGAGCTCTCTGACATTCTGGTGCACCTTCCCGACCACCAGCCTATTACCATCTCATCATTCATTTGGCCCACAGCTTAGAGCAACATACAACAGCACTTCCTGATTGGCTACATACTCACATCTTTGACACCTCTTTATTTTGTCTTGTACATGTCCCATGTTCCCCAACGTATCATGAAAATCTTCTGTCAGACTACTGTTATCTAGACATACCTTGTTATCGCCACATTCTCCTTATGAAGTTCCCAGTCCTCATCCTGGTTTAAGACAGTGCAAGAGTAATCTTCATGGGAACCAATTTTATCACCTAACACTGACAAACAAGCCTCTCTAGCAATGGAAAAGGACCCACAGAGTGACACAGTTTTCAGCAGTATCACAGAAATTAGAAAAACCTGCTCATTTCCATAACTTAATTTTGGGGTTTTCACCAGCACAATATTTACTCTGCCCACCAGGTGAAGCCTGTGGTACTTCCACCTGTGCAGCAACATTCTCTGAGAGGATGGAGACTACAAAAAGAGTCTAGGTCCTGGGCTTAAGATGGGAGCTGGCAAACTGTGGTCCGTGGGCCATATCACGCCTACCGCTTGTTTTTCTATGTGTTGTGAGCTGAGAATGATTTTACTATTTCTAATGGTGTGGGGGTGGTGTTGATAGAAGAAATAATTAGGTCATAATAGGCAGATGCTACCTTCTCCTTCCCTGGTGCATTTCAATAAATTTTGCCTCATTTGAGATTCATTCCCTCCCCATTTTGGTAAAGATGGGGCCTCAGGTTCAATCTTCTTCCTCACAAACCTGCTCCCAAGTTAGAATCAAATTGAGAAACTCAATTTTCTTAATCTCCTGTGTTGGAATTTTTCTCTTAGTTAACTCAAGCAAATATGTGAATTTTGTCAAGCCATCTTGACTTTTTATTTTAATTGCCAGAGGGTGTGTATGCTTGCCAGAGAGAAAGAGAAGGCAAAGGCACCCTCCCCAATGGGGTGTGGTCATGCCACCATCCCTTCTCCATTTCTACGTCCTTTTGGAATTTGGAGCATGCATGCACACATGCTCAGCATGTTTTTCAAGCCAACAGTGTTGGGATTCAAATTATGATCAGTTACGTGGGATCTGGCTTCTTTAACCACTAGGTCACAGGGCCAGCCCCCATCTTGACTGTGTTGGACTTTTGGCAGATCAGAAAAAGCTCAGCAAGACTGGGAAGCTTCCATTGCCTTTTACTTAGTAAGTGTATTAACTGAACTTGCTCTTCAACTTGCCCTTTGGGAAAATGTCTCAACATTTTTTCTTCACTTCCAAAAGAGAGCAGGCAGATTCTTGGTTTAAAATAACAACAATGAGACCTGCAGGTGGTGTGGTGGTTAGGATGCTGGCCTCCCACATGGCCAACCATGGTTTGAGTCCTGGATCTGGTGGCTTGCTTTCTCACTTTCCCTTTCTCTCTCTCTCTATTATTAAAGAAAATAATACTAACAAAATTAAATAAATAAAAATCTTAAAAAAATAAAATTATAACAATGAATGCTGGATAGCACCATCACACACTTAAGTAGCATTTCAAAATCATTGTGCATGCTTTATTTTATTTTATTTTGAGAGATTTTTGCTAAAGGACAGTTGCATTCGCTGGAAAGACAGAGAGACTGAAAGTGAGAAATCACCCCCTAAGGCGAATGACCACATCACAATCCCTTCTTCTCTATTCTCCTCTCGGGATTTTGGGCATGCACACACCCGCGCCCAAGATGAATTTTAAGCCACCAGTCCAGGACTCAAACCACAGTTGACTACATAGGAGTCCAGTGATGTAATCGTTATGCCATCTGCTAGTCCCTGCATGTTTAAAATAGTATGAATATTGTTCCTTTGCTTGTCCCCTTCTAGGATCACTGGACTTATTTTCTGACAAACCCCTAGTGGTACCTTGAATTCTGCTTGACTCGATTTTTGGAGACAGGCTTTTCAGCAAGGCTTTGTCCTCTTTTCATAGTAAACAATTCTGTATTGCTTGAGTTTTTGCAACAGGCATGTATTACTTTTGTTACAAATAAAATTATTTTTAAAAGATCCTGTATACAGAAATAAGGAGAAGAAAGAAAATCTTGAAGAGGGAGACCAGAAAGACCCAGATCATCCTCAGAGGGGGCTGGCAGTCTCTGGTGCAGATCCCTGCTGGGTGCAATCAGAGCAGGAGAGGCTGGCAGCTCCACCTGACTGTGGACCCATTGAGAAAGAGGTTGTGTCACTTGTTCCTTCTTTTCCCTTGGGTAGAAAAGAACCTGCACACACTAAGGCCTAAATAAATAAGTAAATGAATGAATGTATAAATGCCCTGGTGATTATTTAAAAAGCTACATTTCATTATAAATTGAGGTTTGCATACCCCTTTAAAAAAGGAAGTGTAGAATCAAGTGTCAATTTTCGGCTGAAGTACAGGAATTAATTAAGTACCGAGAAACAAATAAACAAGCAGGAACATATGAACTAGCTAGTGGGTGAGGGAGTGAGTGGGATGAGAAAGGGCATAAATATCTTTTAAGGGAGATGATTAACTCATATCAGGAAAACAGCAGCAGGGCTTAACTGGGGAGTGTCTTTTCCTCATAGTAATGGCCATCGCATGGCCATTCTCTCTCCCTTCTTCACATTAAGACCACGGATACACTGAGGTGAGACTGATAATGGCTCAGGTTAAGGAAAAAGGCTTCAAACTGTACCTGAGCAGGTTTAAAATTCTGCTCCAGGTGAAACATTTAACACATTGTTTAATATTATTTAACTTGTTTTATACACATATGTATGAAGACATAGATATTGTTCTAATATGGATATTAGAAAATAATTTTGCCATTTGGATTGAATGAAGTAGGGACTACCTAAGGATGCCCTGTCACATAATGATATGCCTGCAGCAGCAATGTCTGGGATCTTAGGGAGGCAAAGTATCGATGTCACAGGCAGGTGTGGTATTGTCTGTCGAGGATGTTTTGTGGTTTTGTCAACTGTGTTGGGGAGAGATGTTCACCTGTTGAAATATCCATTTTGTAAGACAAATAATAATGTGATTGAATGTATAAAAGAAAAATGAATGCTGGATAGCACCATCACACACTTAAGTAGCATTTCAAAATCATTGTGCATGCTTTATTTTATTTTATTTTGAGAGATTTTTGCTAAAGGACAGTTGCATTCGCTGGAAAGACAGAGAGACTGAAAGTGAGAAATCACCCCCTAAGGCGAATGACCACATCACAATCCCTTCTTCTCTATTCTCCTCTCGGGATTTTGGGCATGCACACACCCGCGCCCAAGATGAATTTTAAGCCACCAGTCCAGGACTCAAACCACAGTTGACTACATAGGAGTCCAGTGATGTAATCGTTATGCCATCTGCTAGTCCCTGCATGTTTAAAATAGTATGAATATTGTTCCTTTGCTTGTCCCCTTCTAGGATCACTGGACTTATTTTCTGACAAACCCCTAGTGGTACCTTGAATTCTGCTTGACTCGATTTTTGGAGACAGGCTTTTCAGCAAGGCTTTGTCCTCTTTTCATAGTAAACAATTCTGTATTGCTTGAGTTTTTGCAACAGGCATGTATTACTTTTGTTACAAATAAAATTATTTTTAAAAGATCCTGTATACAGAAATAAGGAGAAGAAAGAAAATCTTGAAGAGGGAGACCAGAAAGACCCAGATCATCCTCAGAGGGGGCTAACAGTCTCTGGTGCAGATCCCTGCTGGGTGCAATCAGAGCAGGAGAGGCTGGCAGCTCCACCTGACTGTGGACCCATTGAGAAAGAGGTTGTGTCACTTGTTCCTTCTTTTCCCTTGGGTAGAAAAGAACCTGCACACACTAAGGCCTAAATAAATAAGTAAATGAATGAATGTATAAATGCCCTGGTGATTATTTAAAAAGCTACATTTCATTATACCTTCTTTTCCCTTGGGTAGAAAAGAACCTGCACACACTAAGGCCTAAATAAATAAGTAAATGAATGAATGTATAAATGCCCTGGTGATTATTTAAAAAGCTACATTTCATTATAAATTGAGGTTTGCATACCCCTTTAAAAAAGGAAGTGTAGAATCAAGTGTCAATTTTCGGCTGAAGTACAGGAATTAATTAAGTACCGAGAAACAAATAAACAAGCAGGAACATATGAACTAGCTAGTGGGTGAGGGAGTGAGTGGGTTGACAAAGGGCATAAATATCTTTTAAGGGAGATGATTAACTCATATCAGGAAAACAGCAGCAGGGCTTAACTGGGGAGTGTCTTTTCCTCATAGTAATGGACATCGCATGGCCATTCTCTCTCCCTTCTTCACATTAAGACCACGGATACACTGAGGTGAGACTGATAATGGCTCAGGTTAAGGAAAAAGGCTTCAAACTGTACCTGAGCAGGTTTAAAATTCTGCTCCAGGTGAAACATTTAACACATTGTTTAATATTATTTAACTTGTTTTATACACATATGTATGAAGACATAGATATTGTTCTAATATGGATATTAGAAAATAATTTTGCCATTTGGATTGAATGAAGTAGGGACTACCTAAGGATGCCCTGTCACATAATGATATGCCTGCAGCAGCAATGTCTGGGATCTTAGGGAGGCAAAGTATCGATGTCACAGGGAGGTGTGGTATTGTCTGTCGAGGATGTTTTGTGGTTTTGTCAACTGTGTTGGGGAGAGATGTTCACCTGTTGAAATATCCATTTTGTAAGACAAATAATAATGTGATTGAATGTATAAAAGAAAGTGAAATGAAAAAATAAATAAATTAAAAAAAAAAAACCACATTCACTGGCTACACTCAGACAGGCTCTTCCAGAATCTCTGAGATAGTTCCTAGGAATCTGTGTTTTAATAGACTCTCCATTTAATTTGATGGATGCTGAAGTTTGAGAACATTGACATATGAAGGCAAATGTCCACAGTTTTGCAGTTTGATAGTATATTTAATTATGATAGTGACAATAATAAAGAATGAATATCCGACAAATAATTTTTCAGTTCTATTCTACTCTATCTTTACACATGAAACACACTCTCTTTATGCTGCAATCGGAAAATGTGCTTCTGCTAGAGGCTGGTAAGTGTTACGTAAAGAGCAGCATAGACAAAATGCCTAATTTGACCTAAACTTCAAGGAAATCATCCATTTCCTACCTTATTCACTCTAGATGATTTAACAAACAACACACAGGATGCTATCAAGAACTGGCTAGGGTACATTGTGCCTTGCTACTTTTCTTCAAAAGGATGAACGCGTTGGCCAACTTCGATATTCACTCCATCAGCACTCGTAACTTCTTCTTCAAGGCTTGTCTTTCTCTCGAAGTGGTTCAATGGAAGATAGTAGCTGCTGAAATGTGGGACGCTTTTCTGCAAGCTAAATAAACAAAAAAGCCAATGGTTTAGATGATGAAAGCTATGATTAAAAGTAAAGCATATAAAATATTTATTCCTCTGTGCTAAAGTTAGTAATTTTTGAAATGTGGAAACACTACATACATTTCTACTGAGGACAGGGACAAGGCAAGGATGCCACTATACCTACCACTCTTAACATCATACTGAAGGTTTTAGACAGTGCAATCAGAAACTAAAACAATTACAGTCTCAAGAATTGGAGAAGGAAAAGAAAAAGTAAAGGCTCTTTGTCTACATAGAATATGGTTGTATATCTGGAAAACCTGAGAGTATCATGATAGGACCATCGCAAAGAGACCAGAATATAAAATTAACACACAGAATCAACAGGCTTCACATATACCTACATAACCAAGCAGAAGATATCATGAAAGAGGAAACCCCATTTATAATGGCAACACCAGCAAAATAAAATATTTTAAAAATGTACCTCTCCAAATGAGGAAAACTGTAAGACACTACTGAAGAATACAAATGTAGGTTTGAATATATAAAAAGAAGCATCCCTTGTTCTAGAACAGGATGAGTCAGCATCATAAAGATGTCACATTTCCCAAGCCAAAAAGCAAACTCCATGTAATCTCCTTAAAAATACAAACGAGTTTGTTCCAAGCTAAACAGATTGATTCTTTATAGATTTTTAAAAATATGTAAAAATGACTAGGAAATTCAAAAGAAACCTTAGAAATGAGGAGTGCTAGCCTACTTTATATTAAAACATATTATAGCCTATATAATGAGGACAGTGTGGTGCTAATACATACATAAATAGATGAACAAAAAAGCGGATGGTAACGTAATAAGCTCCCTACTTTAGAAAAAGATATTTAAAACCTGATGGAAAAAAAAAAAAGGAAGCCATGACAGATCTCAGAAAGAGATACAAATGACCCTTAAAGATATAAAAGAGACTCAAGTTCACTCAGAATGAAATATGCCCATATATATATATATTTTTTTTTTGGAGAGGTTTTTTTGCTATAGGGCGCGTGTGCTCGCCAGACAGACAGAGAGAGACGTAGAGACAGAAAGCGAGAAATCACCCCCCAGGGGGGATGGTCACGCCACAATCCCTTCTCCTCCATTCTCCTCTCGGGATCTTGGGCACGCACG